GCTTGTGCTTGGCGTTTGGTGGACTTGGTTATCGAGAAAGGCAGCTGACATCGCTTTGTCGATCTGGCTGTTTGGAGAATCGAGCAGAACATTCCCAGTGGAAAGGCCTGACCGGCTGAACTACCACAAGACGAACACTCGGCTGAGTTAAACACATTAGAGGGAAGGTCTCGCGATGAGGAATCTATTACAGTGGGAATATAGTGGATGCAGAGGAAAGACCAGTAAACCTCCAAAGATACTTGGCAGTTCTGTGGCCTACGCGGAAGACCCCATGGGCTCCAAGTGTGACCAGAATACAACGTAATTATGGCCCCCAAAGATAGTGCCTACCCTGATTCGGGATGAAACACGACCCTACCGTCTCTGAGGTTGAAGTTTTGCAATCCGATTCGTCTCAGTAAGGATTAATCACAGTTTCAACCAACAGTCAGTCAATTGAAGTCAATGTATTTGTCAGTGTGTAGGAATAGTTCATACAGTATAGCTACGATTGCTTTGGCACACAGTTCTTTGTCCTTCTGGGGAGCTACTGTACACTTTGTGTCTGGGGAGAACCGTCACCCCAGTGACACAGTATTTGCCTGTAGTCGAGTCCGATTCAGTCGCATAGCAACCGGTTTTGACACTAGAGCTGGTGTGCTGCAAGACGAAACATTGATAGCACTTGTCTGGTCTCCTGTGGCGTCATCGGCTACGCTGTTTGCTGTTGCGACAATGAAGTCGGAAGCTGCATAGCTCTCATACTGCGGGCGAGACTGCACAAAGTACTCTCCGTCCGGGTCCAGCAGACTTTCTGGTTTTTAGGGAGCGGGATCAAGAATGCCATGAGTAAATGTTCCACTGCCGTCCAGGGACGTGTATCTTCTTCCATAGGCCCAAGGAGTGATATATAATTCTCCAGGTGGTCCTTCAAAGATAGTCTCAGCACCCGAGATCCAGACCAAGCTTGCTGGGTTCTGAATGTACAGATTGTCCAGAAGAATCGGGATCAAGCCCACCACTGCGCAGGGTAATTGGATACGGGACTGAGTCAAAAGTGGAATCTATGCCCATTGGGATTATCTTAGTGAAATGATCGTGCTTGGTTATATGTATATACATATCACCACCACTTTACCAACCCATGACAGAAATGATTATTCCCTTCTACCTCAGCGACCACTAGATATTCTGAATTAGTATTTCACATCTAGATAGACTAGATACTAGACTATCTAGTGATATTAATATTTCTAGATAAATCCCAGAAATTAGTGATTACTAAGCAAAATGGTCTTTGGGTGGCTTTCATGAATCCTGGAAATAAGCCTATGTTACTAGATTTACGATCTTTATTTTCCCTAAACAAAAACACATATACAGGACCTTAGTAAGAACGATAATGTTCTATATATAATAGCCCAACGATAATATTTGAATTACTGCTGCTTACCTACAGTTAGACTCTGGCTAAGTCATGGCCTTGAACGACCTTGCTAGCTGATCTTCAAGGTCCATAAGTCTCTCAAGAACCAGGCTAACCTCCTTCCAATTTCCGTGTGCAGCCGGGTATTGTGCCTTACCAGCCAGCAATGCCTGTTGTTCCATGATTTCAGCAGCATCCATCAGGCCAGCCTCAGCTAGGAAGTCCCTCGCATCTAGGTAACGCCTTGCCGCGAGTGGCAAAGTGAATTCAGCAAGGTCATCCACGACACTCGGCAACCCATTTTTCACGGCATCCAGAGTTAACCGCAGCGCTGAGACCCCGCCTGATGAACTAGGAAACATGGCATTGCTTTTAATTTGGTCCTGAAGTATGCCAATCGTGCGCTCAATCATGTCTGGCCGGGAAACGTCCTCAACGTGACGGAAGTGAGAGCGAAACACAAATGGCTGGTTGATATACTCTATGTCTTCACCACGCCACGCCTTAATAAATTCTTCTTGCGGTAGGAGCACGGCTGGATAGCCCGCCGGATCGTGTAGCAGAACCATTCCCTTGTCATCGTCCACGCCCAAGACCACAACGAAGTGGTCGGCTCCACTAAGCGCGGTATGGTTCGGATTGTAAGAGAGGTAGCCCATATTGAGAGGGCCAGCTAGAACAGGCCCATGGATGACTGCCTCACGCAGTGCACATAGGGCTGAAGCAGCATCACCACCGCGGTGGTTATTGCATGTCCAGCCCATCGTCTTAAGGGCCAGATTGATGCCGTCATCCGGATTCGTGTATGGGTTATTGAAAAAGGAAACCGGGCCAGTGTCAAGGCAAATGAAGTGTTTGCCAAAGGGCATCGTTGTGAGACACTCAATGAAGCCTGATGAAGGTAGCGATTGCGGATCGTAGCCCGAGGCTAGGAGGACCATGTACAGACTGTGGGCATAGCAGTAAGGGCCACTGCCAGTATAAGAGAACATGATCATAGCAATGTGCTTGTTACACTAGGTTTCAAAATGGATGCACTGGCAATATAAAGGAAGTTACAATCTAGATTAGCTACATTTCAGCTGTTTAAGTATGCCGTGAGGAGAATTAGGCAACAATTTCTTGACCTTGTCAAAGAAGAGCTCTATTGGTTACAAATTTCCCTCTTGTAGATGTCCAATGACAAAGGTTATAATCCAACTAATCTAGCCTTGGAGTTCATGCATGTTTGTTCCGGATTAGTCAAAGCTGGTCTACAATGATTTAGGCTTTAACCCGGATTTTCCTGTTGTCCAGCCTAATAATAACTGCTCGGATCAAAAGAGCATAGGAACCGGCACAGCGACCACTCCATCTTCGTCTTGATTGTAGAGATGGCGGGGTCGCGTCCTATAGACTAAGCTGAAGCTCAGTTATTACCCTTACAGAATATGAAGGAGCATATCAAAACTTCTGCATGTGTGAACAAAAGGCAGCAACTTTGAGAACCACCAGGTCACCATGAAGAAATGCACCATAACCCTCAGAAATTATCATTAGTGGATTACTGAACTAATCAGGAGTGGCTGTATGAGCAATCATAAATGCCTTAGTTGCAAGATAATATTAAAACTGCAACTTAATACACAGAACCGCCATACAGCAGCCCCTTGCGAGAGATAGAAAACCATTCCTTCTTCATTCCATTCAAAGTCCAAGCCAATAGAACTGATTGTATTGTAAATTCGTAGCCTCAAGGTGTCAGACAAGTTAATCAATGCCCAGAGGTCGATCGGTTCCGAGAGCCCGTGTTCCCAATATGCCGTTCATGTGGCCCTCCTGGAGCATCAACACGACGTCCTGCAGCGATATTGCCTTCGTCTGATGCTTGATGCAAGTCCTCTTCTTCCTGCTGCTTCGAGTGGATGGCATTCTCATAGTCATCAATTGGCTCATCATCGCGGGTCGTGCCGTGCACTTTCTTAGGTTGAAGAGGAGGGGACGCAACTGGCTTTGAAGGCATTATATTAAACTGGAGAATAAACAATGAGTAGACTTTATTAAGTGATAGTTTAGTACAGGTAGTTTAGTACAGTGAATACTAGCTCTTGGATCTAAGGAGGCAGTTACTTTATATATTATTCTTATATGCTACTTCGCGGAATGATCCTAGCATGACGTGCTCTTTTCCCTGAACAACTAGTCATCTAATATTGTAAGCTTATAATAGCAATGGCATGCTTTAGGAAGGGCAGCAATAGAGCAAGAATTCCCATCATCCATTGTGGCAAGCCAAGAAGGTTTCCAGATCACCAATCAACAATGCCAATTTGTCTCCACGAACCAGGTATGGGCCACCCGTGACATGGACTTGTAAATGGCACATCCCGTCATACTTATGTCAATCAGGCATTCCATGATCAATTATCCTCACCACTCTGGAGATGGACCAGATTTTTCCATCAATGTTGAACACTTAATTAATACGTTCCTTTCAATAGCTAGGCAATAACAACTCGGCCGGACGGACCTATTGATAGAGAGACCATTGGTGAAACATATTGGCCGAGGAGACGAAGAAGCAAGCATACTCCGGTATTGGCGGGCTTGACGAAGCTTGATCAGAGTAACTGTATCTGATTTTACCCCCCTTTCGGCTAAGAAACCTTCACGCACTTGTGGTAGTTGCACTAGATTAACGCGGAGGGACGAGGCTGGGACTAGTAGCAGTTACTTAGCAGTTCAGGTGTCCAGGCTCTTTCCTTCCTTGCCATGATACTTCAGAGTACATACAGGCGATAAAGGATACTGATAGATACTGTAAGCGGGCCATGCCAGGTTAATCACAATTCAAACCCACGTGCTGTTCGTAGAGATCTAGAAGAAATGGGATGCGAATCACTCTCCTAATGAGGGCGTTTAATTGCGAGTATACAGCCTTAAGAGTACGGGATTAGAAGGCTGCTGTATCCTTTTTCCTTGTTGATACATTGTCTCTGGCTATTCACACCACGCTAATTCTCGAAGAAGAACCATGGTCAAGTAAGTGCGCGATGCGACCTCCATCGAGGATGCATATAGAAAGGAATTTAAGCTTTAATCTTGGATAAAGAGCCTCTCCGTCTCAATCTGCGCATACGTCCCCTTCTCATACTTAGGCGCTTGACACGGCACGTCAACGGCAACGGATCACGGTTTACGGGAGCTATTCCTCTCCTATTTTCCTGTTGGATTGAGCATTGAATAGGTGTTTGTGCCGCTTGGAACGATCTCCACCTTCAGTCTACAGCGAAAGTACTGCATCATTAGTCCTGCATGCTCAGCGAGACATGCATACTCCATGTAGACTCACTATCCTTGCCGTAAGCCCGGATTCTCATATGGGATCCATAAGGTTACCTGGTTGCCATATCTGACCGGCGCGTTGAAACAGCAATCCTGATTGTTTATAAATGCGGTCAAAAGTTGAGCTGAAGAGCTTGGAAATGCTCATAGGGATTGATTCTTTAACATAGACGCAACGCTAGTCATCGTAAAGCCAACTTTTAAGAGGATGAGGAATATATTGTGTGTGAGGGCAAGTCTCTCAGAAACAAAACGCTACCCGGTTACTCTAGAGATGGTATGGTGGTTCTGCGCCCTCAACCGTAGCGTAGATGGCTGTAATAGCCTCAGCGAGCTCGGCAGGGAGGGGTCCAGCCTCAAGTGCGTCAAGAGTCTTGTGGAGCTGCTCCATATTGGAAACCGCAAAGATCACCCCATCACCGTACTTTCCATCCAAGGCACTATGGAACGCAGTCCATCGCAGGGCAGCCGCATGTCCGCTGATACCATGTTTCTCAGCAACTTCTCGAACAACGGCGGAGGCCTGGAGGGCAGTTTGACTGTAAAGGGCAGTGTACAGCTTCCCGATAGGATTCTAGAATACTGTTAGGATTTATCCGGAGGTGAAATGCTTTGAGAACTTACATCGGTACTCCATCTTGCCGCGGTGTTAGCACCACCTGAGAAAAGGCCACCCGCTGCAGGACTAATGCAAATGTCAGTCTAAATCCAGAAACGGGCCCCATATCGGCGCGTACCTATAGGCGAAAAAGGCGATGTTATGTTTACGCAGCAGTGGAAATAGCTCCTTCTCGCCTCCTCTCACAATCGCGTTATAGTGTCCTTGATACACGTTGGGTTTGATGAATCCCTTTTCTTCGCAAATATCGACAAACTTCTTCACTTCCGCAGCAGAGTAGTTCGACAATCCGAATTTCTTGAACTTTCCTTGTTGGAAACCGTCGTTCATTGCTTTTGCTGTGTCTTCGAAGGGTGTTTGCCGATCAGGCGCATGTAGAAACATTGTCTCCACAGCGGAAGTCTTGAGGGCATCGAGCGATTGTCTAATGCTTAAATGAATTTTCGAAGGTTCGAGGTCCCCGGGACCCTGACCGCGGACTTTTGAATGGATGATGAAGCGAGAGGCAGCTCCAGCCAGGCCAAGGCGTTTCTCAGAGCCGTCATAATTACTCGCGGTGTCTATATGCCTATAGCCGCGATTGTGGAATGCATCCAATAGGGCCTGGACATCGTTCGCGTTATCGAAGTGTACAGTCCCGGGGTTCTCACTAGCATCGCCAACCTATCGCCACCTGATTAGAACTAAATAGTCGCAATTGAATGATGTACGTACTGTGTGAGTGCCGAGAATAATATTGACAGGCGTGCCGGAAGACATGCTGGATGGAAAGAGACGTTGAAAGATGTGAAAGTGCAGGGTGAATATAGAATAAGACACTGCGAAATGAGTCGTGCTTGGAGAGGCCTCTATAAATAGTCCGTCCCAACAGTTAGCACTGGATACATGCCAGTTAAATCCATTCCATGAGGGATTTAGCTGGGCTGGTTTTGGATCATGGCGCGGTTCTATGAGCTCGACATTGTTACTCCCGCAACTTTTCCGCAACTTTTGCGCAATTTGGCCGCATATTGCCCGCATATTATCCGCATGTTGTCCGCCATGACAACCACCTGGTATGGTCCCTCATCTGTATGCTCTAGGTAAATACACATCCTACAAGATATAAGATGGCAAATATTCAAAAAGGGAAGATTTCCGAATCGATTTTAGCGGGGGCTAAGCCCTTCCCGGCGTTCCCGCTGCTTTCGAGGTCTTATCTATCCAATATTGTATCTTGTCTGCGCCCACTATGAATGTCCAGTACAACTTTGCTAAATCGTCTAGCTCCTCGGCTGGATACTGTGACATCAAAGCTCCAGGCTGCACGGAATCCACTAGCAGTGGGGGTTTCAGACGGCATAGTTCAAACCAGTTCATTGCAGATTCAGCGTCCCACAAGCCACGGCGCGAAGTAAACATAACACTTCCAGTACAATCAAGCCATCCCTTAGTCGTGGTTTCGTATACGTTCATGACAGAGTCAATGATTAGACGCGAGCGCCGGACACTTTCGGTCAAAACCCATTGCCGCCACATCGCTGAACAGACATCATATTCCTTGTCGAACTCACTTGCCGTCCATTGAAGGGGAGAGTTGTCCCAGGGACAGTCTTTCCCACGATTTGATTTTACTGCCTCCCACATCTGGGTTATCCACTGTCGAAGAGTTGGGATATGTTTCTCAGCAGTTGCGCGCAGACGCACGGAGCCATCAAAAAGCGCTATGAACTCGTAGATAAATAGCGCCTGAACACGGCTCAGGTGGTCTAGAATACCATGTGCACGGCTGTCAGTGGGAGGACTCTGGCGGACAAGTACAGACAAGCGCTCCTCGACTATCTGCAGTATGGTCTCCTTCACCGCTGGGGTACAGCCAGCGTAGGCCGCAAGAGTTGTGAAGGCGTCCTGGACGCATGTAGGCATGCAGTTCTCATACAGTCGTCGATGAATGAAGCTATTATAGCCATTTCTAACCCACGATCGCAGCATTTCCTCTACGGCGCGGATGAAAGGTTCCAGCTGAATAGCAGTTTTGCAAGCTGGTTCTTCGTTGCTGTGCTGCATAGTCCAGGTCTCATCTCTGAGAAACCAGGGACGTTGCGTGCTCACGATGTCGGCCCTCGGAAGTGCAGCATCCTGAGCTTGTACACTAATCGCTGGTATCGACAATGGTGGGATAAATGGTACCAGCACATCTGACATGGAGAAGTTAAGATCTGCGGGCCCCGTTATAGCGCCCCAATCTTCGAAATCAGTAAGATAGCTCCGCAGTGCATCAGGGTCGGTTGGAAATTCTTCAGCCTGGTCGTCACACACAATAGGATTTCTTTGCCTTCTCTTTGGTTCCGGATATACGCACTCCACGTCCTTGTCCAAGCAGCGCTGGCACTCAGGTAGCTGCTTGTCACACCTGCGCTTTGAATTTGCGCAGGCAATGCAGGCTTTCTGCCGGTATCTTGCGGACATACGGCGGGAAGTGGAATTCTGGAACATCTCAGGGTTCGAACTGCCAGCGGATTTTTGCGACTTTGCAAGGTAGTCATATAACTCACCTCGTTCAAGCTGCTTATTAATACATATTCGGCAGTTTCACCACCATGTCCTACGCTAAGCAAGGAAAAAGGAAAGCAGATCGAGAATACGATACAACCAATCAATTTGGGGGCATACCAGCAGGGTGAGCCATGATACCGTCCTTGGGATCCGATTAGTCAACCCCAAATTCTAGTTAGGAAGCTCTGTAAATCCTTAACTGCGAAGGGTTTAAGTAGATGGTTGACGCCACGGGCGCCAGTAAAAAAAGGACTACAGTAACTGAATCACCTTGGCTGGATCCTGTGTAGGTACCCTTTTGTAGCCAAATCACCTGGACTAGATACCTCTTGCAGCCGCATCAATGGTCTGCCTCTCAACTGTACCGTTGCCTACCAGGCCTTACTGCGGTTTAAGTCGCTCTCTGGGTATCAAGCAGCGATGTCAACTAATGCGCCCGAATGTCGTATACCGAAATATTGTGGGGCGCATTCGGGTTGAAGTCGCAACCCATTTAGAGCCTCTTCACACTGGCATAGAGATGGCCACTGATGGCATTGGTGATATCTGTGTAGTGATTGTGAACACCCTGCTACCGAAGTATAAGGCTATAGGGGGTAGCTGTGGGAATTCAAGATTAAGTTAAGGCCTTAGGGGCTACAACGGACTATAATGCGCTTACTAGGAGTGCAGAGAGTTAGACCTACTAGATCATGTAAAACGCTAGAGGTATTTCCGTAGGTCACTATTTTATAACTTAGTACTTAGTTCTCCTTACTTGGAAGTTGGGTAATATATAATTATCTTACTCTGCTTATACTGACTGATCTTACTTCACTATCCATTTCTGATCATGGGTATTGTCAGTTGTATAACCCTAACTTCATGGCCAAATACCCGCCTCCCCCAACCAACAGTCAGTCACCATCTACCAAGGGTACAGCTCCTCATCACAGATGCTGCTCTGAATGCACAGACTCTCATCCCCCGTATGTGAATGAGTAAATGGCTGGCTTTACTGGTGTGACGGAGAGCTTGAGGAGATTGAGGAATGGATGGACGAGGCCAGGGTGAAGCATGCCGCGAGGTTGTTGCCGGTGGAATAGCTGTATCTGCCATCTGAGGAGTCGAAGGTAATTCTTGTGGATACTAAATGAGCTGTAGAGTTGGATATCTCTCTCATTATAATCGGGGTACTATCAAATGGGCGCCTTCCGTCTCAGGAAGATTATGTATATCACCACCGTCTTGGTCAATCACTCTACCATAGAATGAAACGTGGTTACGACACTTTCGAGGTAATAATCCTGGGCTATCTGGATGAGTACGTTCTCTTCTGGATTCTGAAATACAACCCTGAACAAATGCAGCCTGAATCTGGTGGCGGGTTATTCACAGCCATTTCGAGTTTCCCGAGTAAAGTTGGCAGGCTTAGGGTACACAATATCATCACCATGACACCGAATTGCATTATTCTCGGCATTTGATGGTCGCACTTTATGAGGAAGGTTATATCCCGGTAATTAGCATCCTTGAGTCAACCAATGCTGATCCAACCACGAGCCCACGTGGAGATCGACATGTGGAGATCCTGTCAACACGAGCCTGTTTAAACGGCACAATCATGCCTAATCGAGCAATCAATTACACAGTACGAAGATATGCTAGGCCAGTCCTCTGCACGTGTATGATTATTTCATCCCAGTTCGTATAAAACCTGCCATGTTCCCTCCCTTTCAACAATGCATCTCTGAATAGAAGCAATTCCTCAAGATGAAGAGTATCTGTTCTATTGCCTGGCTGGTTCCTCTTTTGGAACTGGCCACCGCTGCCCGAGCACCAATCAAGAAAACCCTGACCGGCCATATTGACCCTTCGCAGGTCTTCTCCTTTGTCTATGTCCCATTTGAAGTGGAAGTCGGGACAACATCCATCTATGTCCTACAAAACTACTCGAAAAAAGGGCAGGGAAATGCCCTTGATCTGGGGATCTTCGACCAGCGAGGATACCAGATGATGGACGCACAGAATGGTGCCACAGGCTCTCGGGGCTGGTCCGGTGGTTTCAGGTATGTCTTCCCTAGTCCAACTACTGTTTCCTATCTGACAAAGTAGAAACAACTTCACCATCACTCCGTCCTCGGCCACCCCCGGCTACAACCCCGGCGCGATCGAACCAGGGACCTGGAACGTCGTGCTCGGCCCATACGCATCCGTCCCCGAGGGTATAGACTGGCAGCTCGATATCGAAATGTCCTTCGACCCCACTGACTCGTGGTTCTCCCCCTACTACGCCACCACCAACCTGGACCCCTCTGCAACGGCTGGCAGGAGGACTCAGCGTTTACCTGGCTGCGCGGCGACTTCCACATGCACACCGTCTACTCGGACGGCAAATACACGCCAGACCAGCAGATCCACAACGCCCTGGCCCAGAATCTCTCCTTCATCTTCTTCAGCGACCACAACACCGACACCAGCAACCAGATCATCGGCGCCTACCAGGCCTCTCTCGCCCCGGATCTGCTCATCGGCCGCGCCATCGAGGTCACCACCCGCTACGGCCACTGGCAGGCCGTCGGCCTCGACCGCGGCCAGATCATCGAGTGGCGGTACAAGCCCGAAGATAACCCCGGCTTCGCGGCCGCCGCGCACCAGGTCCACCGCGTGGGTGGCTTCGTCTCAGCCAACCATCCTTTTGCGACTTGTCCCGCGTGTAATTGGAGTCTGGGGTGGGAGGAAACCGACGCGGTGGAGGTCTGGAACGCGCAGTGGGACGAGCAGGATGAACAGGCCGTCCAGAAGTGGCAGGAGCTGCTTGTAGAAGGGAAATTCCTGACTGCCATCGGAGGAAGCGATTCGCACTCTCCCCCGTCGCTGAACGGGTGGCCGACGACCATTGTCAAGGCGAGGGGACGTAGTCAAGCTGCGATTGTGGAGGGTGTCAAGGCCGGCCGGGCATATCTGGTTCAAGGACCGGGGATGGACATTGCGTTTGAGGTGCGCGTTCCCTCGCTGGAGGCTCCTGCGCAGATTGGTGATAAGCTCCGAAAGAGTGCAGCGGGTGCCAGGGCTGTTTTGGTCACTGAAGGGCTGTCGAAGCTCAAGGCTTGCTTTGTCTCGGACAAGGGATACTTCTACAATACTACCATTGAAGATGGAGTACGGATTGAGAGGGATGTGCCGTCTAGGGCCAGGTTTGTTCGGGTGGAGGTTCGCAATGGCACGACAGACGAGGTGCTGGCCTTGACTAATCCAGTTTGGTTCTTGGGTTCTTGAGGTACATAGGATAGATAATCACATGTCTTTGATACTCATCTGGATACGGTGACTGTAGCCGGGAATACTGTTCGCAAGACCTTTCATCCAGCGTTTACATCTAAGACCGGAGTGGAAACGGACGCCATGGCGGTTGTGGACAAAATGGTATTTGGAACAGCTGGGCAGTGGGTTATTGAGCCACTGCGTCTCCCATTCCGCTTCTGGGGTATCCACAGGCTACTAGTTGTAACTGGCTTCTGTGGTACAAATGATGCCTTAGGGGCAGCGCTGTCTGAATAACAGCTGACATGTTGGCAGAGCAACTGGACCCGTCGGATTATCAGGAGTATGGTTATGGTAGAGCTAAAGACCGGAAATGAATGTCAATCCTACAGCAGCACCAAAGTCTGACAAACAGAAACGAGAGCCAGAATTTATGTCAACACACCGTACATTCGATGGATCCAAAACTTACTGTTGATAGTCAGATAGCTCTGTCTTTGACCACATCACATGCTGTTTGGCTCTCTGTCTGCCCAGTGAAGGTGTAGTCCATCTACGCTGTTTGACACAAAACCAATTATGTTTATCAATCGATTCTTCCATCTGAGACAACTGAGCTGAGCGAATATTCCTCTGTTTTCTATGACAAGCACGAAGCAGCCAGTTCGCAGGGAGCCCATGGTCCTGAATTGAGACTATGCTGGACAGCACTCTTCCTGGCATGCTTGGATTGGGATATATCTAGACTTTCCATAGGCAACATATGGATGAACCATTATCACTAGGCATCTAGGACAATTTATTCAATGCGTATGTTCTGCACATTGATCAAGTCTTACTTTAATCACGACTCGAGATTTAGGGTCCTATGTTGACTGGTGATGAGTGACTATGACTGTCTGACCGTCAGCAGAACCAAATCCGAGTCAGTGGCTGAACTATTATATTTCGATTACTATAAAATGTCTTACAAATGTTTCTCGCCACAAATACTGATTAGCCACGATTTCAGACCGTTAGAAGACATCTATTCGTTGTCTCACTTTTACCATGGAATCGCGATCTATTTTTACCGCGCCAGGACCGGATTGACGGAATGGCGGTGCAACTCGGTAATCACCCCATGACAGCTGCACCGACCAAACGTTAACCACGAACCGCATTTCTCCAAGAAGAATCCGTGCTGTCAATTGCCTCGATGATCTCATGTTCTCGACTTTAAAGGTACGGGTGGGGATACTAGGTAACACCGGTCTCGCCGGACTATGAATAGTTTCACCGGCAGTCAATAGTTCCGTCTCTCGCTAAACTGATGGAGGCCTAACTCACCTCAACTGGGTGTACTAACTTACTCAACCGAATCACACCAGTATAGGGCGTACAGATGCAGTATCCATATGGAGGACCCTATAGTAGTTGCTACCGGCAAAGCTAGGAGGACTTCAGTATATAAACCTGACTCCCGCACTGGCTCGGGATATTCTTCCCCATCAATAGATTGAGTCAGTTCCTCATAGTGAGAGGTCCAAAATGATAATGCACTCTTTGCTCTTTGTCTCTGCCCTCGCAGGCTCTACGCTTGCCTTTTCTGGTCACCACAGCTTCTCCAACTCGACCGTCCCCTCCCACCACTCATCCACTTATACTCTGCTTCCCACAGGCGGAGGAGGTAAGCCTACTCACACCGGTGGCAATGGCAATGGCACTGGCCGTCCCCAGCCTACAACGACCGTCGTCCCTGGCGGCGACTCTGGCTCTGTTTCAACCGTCACTGAGACCATCACCAAGACGACGTTCAAGCCCTGCTCGACTCCCATTCACACCCAGAGCGGCACCACCTACTACAGCACCTGGTTGACGACCTCTACCTACGAGACAACCACCTGCTACACCACCAACCTTCCACCAGCTACTACGGCCCCGGAAGTTCCTCCCCAGACCACAACCGTCAGCCTGCCCGGCCCAGGAAACAGCTGCCCTCCTCCATCCACAGTCACGGTAACCGTCACTGTCGGCAGCGGTGGGAATACAGGGACGCACACGCAGGCCCCAGCACCTGGTGGAGGCAGCGGAAGTGGCCCTGGTACTGGAACTGGCTCCGGACACTGCAAGCACTGCGAGACCATCACCTACACCAACACCTACGGCTACACGACCACTATCGTGATTCCCCGATCTCTGAGCCCACGAACACTGCTCCCACGCAGGCCACGGGAACAGGAACAACCACAAAGCCTACAGCCCCTGTTAGGACGGGTACTGCGCCCAGTCACAGTCATACTCGGGGATCACCAACCGGCACCGGGGGTGAGCAGGCTCCTACCGAGACGAAGACATGGCATTTCGAGAGGAGGATGGTGAGGGTGTAGGCATGACAAGGAATGGTATGGCATCTTAAAGGAATGGCGTGATCTCTGTCTTCGCAATAATAAGGCTAGGATAGCATGGCGTTGGCGAATTGTTTAGCGGCTGAGCTCTTTCTGTACCGGGCCTTGTCTTGTCTCTTTTATCTCAGATATCTGCACTGCACTGCATATAGATTATCATAGTAATCCATTGTTGCCTGAGTATTTCATTAGCTCCCTCGTAAATATAGGTCTAGATTTCAATAGCCCTGACTTTATCTTCTGCATCCGTACCTTCTGTCAGACATATTATATTGTGCGGCATCTACCACATCTCCTATGGTCTATTCCATTAACAACAGCCTTCTCACTGCGCACTTTGCAGTAGTTGCACCAGTTGCAAAAGTAGGAAGCATAATCTGCCTCTTGGAGAAAGTATCTCTTCTCCATAGGTTGTCTTCGCCCCTTGTATGAGGCTCTGGGTCTGTACATCCTCAAACAGAATACCCCGGGAAGTTAACCTCTTATGGAAGCTTGCAATGATATATATCTAGAGATTGTGTATGCGGGCGGAGTAATCTATATCCACGATTACTCAGAGATTATTCAGCATGTGGGCTCCACTTTTTTCCGTTCCGAGTTCCGAGTGGGCGTACCGTACCGTTACATTAAGCCCCACTATTCTGTACAGTAGTTGCGGCCTGAATGGTGCCCGAGTGGTAAGGCAGCAGTATTCTCTCTGACGAATAATGATTCACGAATCCAGATTTCTGAGGATCAGTCATGCATGTAATAATAATGTGTCATTCAATGTCATGCATGAATCCTGCTCATGCATGATCACATTCTGGTATTTGTACCTAGTATACATATCTAATTCTGGTCGGCAATGCAATTCCTCTAAAGAACCGAATCCGGGGCGGATCTCTCCCTCATAGCGGGTCTATCCAGATCCTTCCTGGCGATTGGTGCACTAGAAGAAAAAACTATACGGACTGACCCCACCTTGGAGCGGCCCTTGACGTAGTGGGCGGACTATTGAGCATAGGGGTTTCTACCTCTCTAACCCGATATATATAAGCTGCTCCTGGCGAAAATTTATCTCTCATGATACCGACTTGCTGATTCCATCAGGAGACAGTCTGCACCATGAATGCAGCAGACCATGCAATCGAGCGCGCCGAGGAGGATGCGGTTCCGGTCTCCTCGCGCGAGAGCCTCGATTCCTCCTACAGTTCCAGCAGCGATGGATCCCAGCCCCGGCTGCGAACAATGTACTCGCGACGCACCGAGACCGACCTCGAGCGGTATCAGACCTCGTCGCAGGTCATAGATCGGATCGAAACGCAGCGGCTGCAGCATGCGCTCACCGTCGGAGAGAGCATCAAGACGCAGAGCCGAGCGTCTGCCCGCGGGCCTCTCCCCGCGTTTGGCGCCGGCAAGCCGTATCCCCCCAATTGCCCAATCGGGAAGACTATGTGGTTGAGTTCGACGGGGAAGACGATCCGCTGTATCCTCAGAACTGGAGCACGCGCCGAAAGTGAGTATTTGCTTCCCCTCGCCACCCCACGACATGTGGTGATGTTGATTTTCTTAGCCTTTTTTGTGACTCTCTCTAGGCTCTGCACGGGTGCCATCCTCGCCTTCACGAGTATCTGTTCCACGTTCGATTCGGCCGTCTTCTCCAGCTCCACCGGCAACGTCGCGCGTGTGTTCGGCGTCGGCGTCGAGGTCGCCACGCTCTCGAGTTCGCTGTATATCCTAGGCTACGCCTGCGGGCCGCTCATCTGGGCGCCTTTCTCCGAACTGCAGGGTCGCCGCCTCCCCATCCTCATTGGGATGTTCGGCTTCGGGATCTTCAACATCGCCGTGGCCGTCGCAAAGGACCTCCAGACGTTACTTATTTCTCGCTTCTTCTCCGGCGTCTTCGGCAGCTGCCCGCTCGCCGTCGTGGCGGCCATCTTCTCCGATATCTTCGACAACCGCTCCCGCGGCATCGCCATCGCCATGTTCTCCAGCATGGTCTTCCTGGGCCCCCTCCTCGCCCCCTTCATCGGCGGCTTCATCAACATGTCGTATCTGGGCTGGCGCTGGACCGCCTACATCCCCGCCATCATGGGCTTCGCCGCCCTCATCCTCAACTTCTTCTTCCTCAAGGAGTCCTACCCGCCGGTCATCCTCATCTACAAAGCCGCCGAGCTGCGCCGCCGCACAAAGAACTGGGGCATCCACGCCAAGCAGGAGGAAATCGAAATCGACCTGCAGGAGTTACTCGTCAACAACTTCTCCCGCCCGCTGCGCCTGCTCGTGCACGAACCGCTCATCCTCGCCGTCACGCTCTACCTCAGCTTCATCTATGGGCTGCTGTACTGCTTTCTCACGGCGTATGGCCTCGTCTACCAGGGCGTGTACCACATGAACGCGGGCGTCGGCGGGCTACCGCTCTTCGGGATGGTCGTCGGCCTGTTCATCGGGGGAGGCTACATCTGTGTCTTCGCGAGCAGATCGTACAATAAGAAGCTGCAGGAGAATGCCGGCGTGCCGGTGCCCGAATGGCGTCTCCCGCCGGTGATTGCTGGCGGGGCGCTCTTCGCCGCGGGCATCTTCTGGTTTGGATGGACGGGGTTCACGGCTGAGGTGCCGTGGATTGTGTCGACGCTGAGTGGCCTCTTTACGGGGTTTGGGCTGTTGATTGTGTTTATTCAGTTGTTTAATTATCTGATTGATACGTACCTCATGTTGTAAGTGTTCCCGGTCTCCGCGGATTTATGGAGGCGATTCTGACCAAAGTGCAGTGCGGCCTCGGCCATCGCGGCGAATACGTTCTGTCGGTCTGTGTTGGCAGCTAGCTTCCCGCTGTTTTCGCGGCAGATGTTCAATAATATGGGGATCCAGTGGGCTGCGACGCTGCTGGGATGTGTGGCTACTGCGCTGGTGCCGATCCCGGTTATTTTCTATCTTTATGGCAAGCGGCTTCGGATGAAGAGTAGGTTTGCGCCGACGCTGGAGCTGGATGGGGCGGCGCATGCGCCCATGGAGATGACTGAAAACAAGGGAGGAGAGGACGCTACTGGGCAGACGGAGGAGAGAAGGCAGTCGTGATCTCCCTTTGGTCAAAATGTAAATATCATGTTAAGTATATAACATTATACCCTTGACTCCGATAGGTTTAGTATCGGCGATGTTCCTGCATGCCGCTTTCTGTGTAGTCCATCTATACTTTTAAGGTTGACAATAGAGCTTGACCTGAGGAATACCAACGGTAGAGAGACTGACCAGAGTAGAATTACACCAAAACGAGACAGCGCTACGCTTGCTGTAGTGTCCTGCACCAGGCTTAGATATGATCCTCGACCGGTGTACCTGAAATACGGAGAGACAACCAGGCCGGGCTACAAGTCTCATATCCGAACCAGGTAGTCTCTTCCAAGTGACCTTGTATCAGGCGATTACCAAATCACGTATCTTTCTCCAATACCTGGTCCAGTTGTAGCAAACGAGACAATGCTTTGTCGTATGGTCTTTGTCTTATGTCTTCCCTTCAACGGCATACTCAAGACATCGTTGGGACAATGCCTTTGTCTCTCTTCTCTACCGGCACGATATGGAGAATTCCTTGTCTTCATACATTACTGTCTTAAAACAGACCATTGATGCTTCTGGCTTTGTACTATCATGGACTTCTCCACTAACCGATAATGAGGATGAAGACACCGTAGAAGATGTCTGATACAAGAACGACAGATGGAAGACATGTACAGCTTCATTCAGGGATGTTGAAGGCAATAAGAGAACGACTGAGACAATAGAGATGAGCAAAGTTATATAAGGAGTGATAGTTCTCTACAAAATCGATCTATTCCATCTTCATCACCATCTTCTTTCTTCTTTCCTCATACCACCATCATCAGCATTCCTGTCAGACTTTTCCAAAGCAATTCCCATTGAAAAGCTTCTTCGTGTCGATCCTGCAAACAACAAAATGACAAATGAAACACCCAGACGTCGTTCATTGCTGGAGCTCCCTGCGGAGATCCTCCAGCACAGCTTGGGCTTCCTCGACGAGGAAGAACTGCGTCGCATCGTGCGAGACGTGGAGGACCTCGCCTCGCACGCCAAAGAGGTAATCAAACTTCGCTTCATAGAGAAAAATACTTACACCCTTCCAGACGAAGCTGCCGTTCTCGAGCGTTACGGTGGTAGACTCCCCGACAACGTGCTGCCCACTAACCACCTCCGCCATCCCTGCGAGGTGCCCTTCATTCGCGCCCCCGACACCATTGCGGGCATCATCAGGACTAATAACCTCGAGATCCTAAAGGTGCTAGTTAACGCCGGTCTGGACCTGATGTCCTTCAGCTTGAATGGCTGGCGTCTGCTGGGTCTAGCTCTCGCCTGGGGCAGCAATGCCATTGCAAAGTACCTCATAGCCAGGATGAAGCCCGAGGACCTGCTCTATGGCGTCTGTCGCGTTGGAAGACGGGGCGAGCCACCGAACTTCCTCACCCTGGCGGCATACCACAGCGCCGACATGTTCAGCAGGATGTGGCAGCGTGTCCGCCGTCTGCCAAACTGGCAGGCCCAAGTGACTGAAGTGGCTCAGTACCAGCTGTGCAGACACGCAGATGCGCTTCTGGCCTGGGACCTCGCCGAGGACGGGGTGGATATTGCTGTGTGTATCCTGCCCTTCCTGGGGAGAAACGCCTGGCATGCGGCTGCCGAGTCCAACGACAACATGGACTTTTTTGAGTACTTGTACGGCCGTATCCCCGAGGCGATTAACAACGGCAACGCGGAGAACGGGCGCACGCCGCTTATGATCGCTGTCACGGAGCAGTGGCATGATCGTACGGATGCGATCAGATGGATGCTCCGGCATGGAGCTGATCCGAGGATGGAGGTTGGGGGGAGGACTGCGGCTTGGTTTGCGAGCGCGGCGCACAACTTTCAGTTGGCGAGTCTGCTTTCCTCTGCCGCCTCTTCTCCGTACTCTGAGTCGCTTCGGGGCTGATACTGCAGGTTTCGTCGAACATTAAACCACAAAATCAACCAAAAAAAGAAATATAAAGTTCGGTATGTTTCTCTCCCCTGGTTTCGGTTTTGCATTGGTTCTTGTTCTGGTTTTGGTTTAAGTCTTGTTTTGATTTTAGTACTGGCTCATATCGAAGCAATATCATCACTCATTGATTCTCATCTCGAGACAACCTGGTAGTCTGTAGACACGTAACCCATTGTAGGCGTAGGCGTAGAGTAGGGCAGCCTCTTATCTGAGGCAGATTCATTAATGACAGAGATGACTCCAAATTGGTAGCCATAATCATTGAACCTTGCCTCTGTAGTTTGAGGGAGAGATCAGGCGGCTACCTTCATCCGGTGAAAGAAGGGACTCCGCGAAATGATACTGAAAGGGAGGCTAATGAACATGACAGACAGCACCTAGTGAAACAGCTTATGCTATACATTGCTAGCCATGCAAACCCAAGCAACACAGCCTACTCATTTCCATCAAATGATGGTAAGCAATGTCTGGTTCCTGATTAGGAAATAGTAAGAAGTGGGATCTGCCCCGCACTGGCGTCTAGATTGAAACGCTGGTCCAATCAAAAGCATTCACCAGCATGAGTCATTTTGGCTCATTCTTGGCATTGGATTCTCGTCGGGCTAACCGTTTCCGGACGGCAGGAATTGGCCAATCAGATCGCCGTCTTATGTTGGACGCAAGATGAGGTTATACAGGATGAGTGAGGATGAGTGAGGATGATACAGGATGATGGTGATGATAGTGAGGCCAGAGAAGTAGAATAGCAACCGAGAAGTAGAGTAATGTCTTGTTTGATCATGCTGGTCATTTAGACTCATTATGAGCGTGGATGATAGTTGAATGAAGAGATGCAGACAGTGGCATATAATATGGCTGTCAGAAGGTACTAAGGTAGTATGAAGTAGAGTAGAAAATTGGACACTATGCTTGACATGGAAGATTAATTGATAGATAGCCGCTGGTGAGTTTCACAGTACCCGAGATACTGCCTTGTATGCATCAAGAATGATTATACCCTCTGAGCTGATATGCGTGGCATTCTGAAGCTCTTGAAGATGAATCATGGAAGACATCTTCAAGTGACGAGTCGACATCTTCTGACTTGACCTTCTTTCTTCTATTTGCTGTTGAGACATCTAATGATCTGCCACTGACTATTCTATATCCAGGACCAACTGCTTGTTTGAGCACGGAGTGGAGGGAATGACCATAAATGGCCAATTACTCAATCATAATAATCTCTATCTTTATAGACTTTTCTTGTAGATTAAACGACCGATATTAAATTAAAAGTAAGACTGCGCCCCACCCGCGGATTTGGTGCATCCGCAACTTATAAAGCGCCATCCCCCCGCTTACTCTCCTCTCCGTCTTTCTCTTCTTCCCATCCATCATCGTCGCTCTCGACGACCAGGCGCCCTTTTCTTTAAATCCGTCCAAAACCCGCCGGGTCACAGACCCGGCCTAAAGCATAGAACAATGTCGGTCACCGCCATATCCGTGCAGGTGGCCCGCCAGACCGGCCCAGTCTTCTTCCAGCCGCAGCAACTCGCATAATTTTCTTCCTGGACACCTCCAACCGCATCATCAGTTTTCTTCTTTTGGATTTTACGATAGTAACCCGGCGTTTTGTTCTCCACACTGTGTCTTTCCGGATACCAATCTCGATCTTGCCTCTTTTGCTCCCGACCCGTCACTGTCACTCTACGACACCGACCCGTCCGCCTTTGTACCTCTAGCCCCCGATCTCGCTAGCTTCGGTGATCTGGACTATGCAAGTCTGCCAACGGGGACTTCCAGTTCGCCGTATGCGCCCGATTCGTATGACTTGACTGCGATTTCGACTCCTGCCGTTGATGTGAACGATTCTGCGCCGTTTTTGGATATTGATTCCTCGGGCACAGATTCAGGTATGCAATATAGTCCTGACTGAACCAGAATCATACTGATATCAGCAGACACAAATATCAACCGAGGCCAAGTTCAACCGCTGACTCCACCACTGCTGATGCCCGCCTCGAGACCACCGCCCGTGTCCATTACTGCAGCATCGACCTCCAAGAACCACCCGCCCAAGGAGACCACGAACAAGGTCTCGAAGCGTCAGCTGAATACCCTTGCTGCGCGGAGATATCGCCAACGACGGGTGGACCGGATGAACGAGCTGGAGGCGGAACTGGAGAAGGTGAAGCGGGAGCGGGATGAGTTGAAAATGCGGGTGTCGAAGCTGGAGGGGGAGACGGAGGCGTTGAGGGGATTGTTGAGGAAAGACAAGTAATGTTAGTTTATGACTGGTCATATTCAATGCAAATACTTGTAATGTGCCCACTTGTTGATCTGGTCTCTTGATGTATTGCCAAGATATGCTTGTCCGTGTCAATGCGCCATATGGCGTTATCCAGCTTCCAGCATAAACTGAAGTCGCATATAGAGACTGTAGTTATGAAAATGCGACAAGAATATCTTACTACTCAGTCGGATCAAAGTCATATTCAATATTCTCGGTCAGATAGCTGTTGCTTGACATGGACCCGATGGGTAACGCTGTGGGGATACAAGCCAGCCACTGCCCTGTCCATCATCCGGCTGATCGCCCACAAACCTGGCCTGTATCCGGATTAGCAATCAACCCTTTCCAAAGGTACTGAAGACGATTCCAAGATTGACTGAATTAGAGACAGTGAAAGGTTCTTGTAATATCTTCGAATAACAAGAGACGTGACAGTGACGTCATTACGCATCATCCGCGGAACCAGAGCACCAACTGCTTCCTTTCCCTGGGAAGAGAAGATTCTTGTCTGAATCCGTGCCTTGTCCCCAGAGCCTCCATTCACAGCATCTTTAGCTCAATCTTCTTCCCAATCTTGCACCAGACCATCCGACACAAGCAGTGGGCAATGTGCCCAGGGCTTACCCACCATGTCCAGCAACAATAACAATAATCGCAACACCGACAGCAACACCCTGATCGAGAACGAGACCGACGCCCAGAGCAAGAATGATGGGGTCACGAGCAAGGCGGGTAAACTGCTCAAGAGATTGAATGAGGGCTGAAAGTATGCGCTGACTGTGTGCCAACGTGTAGAGCACGGAGCTCGCCCCCTGCACCGGCTGCACCGGGCTAGACCGGCCAGACGAACCCATGAATATGAATCAAAACGATGAGGAGGACGTCGACGACGTCGCGACGAAGTTGATCATGGAGGACCCCGGCTACCACCGAGACCTGCTGAAGGATCTGCTGAACGTGATGCGCCTGGTGGACGACGCACACGTGCAGACGCTGCTGGGGATGATCCGCGCCGACTGCGCGATCGAGGAAGTGAAGCTGTTCGTCGAGAAGACCTTGAAAGATGTGCAGGATGCCGGCCGGGATGGCGAGACGGTCAAGCGGCTTCAGGATATGCGGATGCGGGTGCGCATCGAGAGCGGCGAGCCGCCATTCCGGCCCCAGGTCATGGATATTCACTATCTGTGCGACGTGGCGCCGTACAAGGTGCCTGCGAGGCCGTGGACGACGGTGACGGACGACGACGCGCTAGTATCGCATCTGATATCGTTGTATTTCACCTGGGATTATCCGTTCTATGCGTTTGTCGATATGCGGGCCTTTGTTCAGCATATGCGGGACGGGAATACGAACTCGGACTTGTGCAGTCCGTTTCTGGTCAATGCCATGCTGGCCAATGCATGCGTATGTTTCCTGTTTGGTTGGAGTTGTGTTGAGCTGCTGACAGGCACAGCATTATTCACAATACTCCGAGGCATATGCGATACCGGGCGATGTGAAAACCAAAGGGAGTGATTTCCTCGCCGAAGCAGAACGACATATGCATAGCTACCAGCTGGAACGAGGGAGGAGTGTGCGTCTTGCATCTCTGCAGGCGACGCTGCTTTTGTATGAAAGGTTGGTGTCCTGCCTTTCCAAAGTATTTCCACGGTACTGACAGTTCCAGGTATTCCATGTCCGGCGACGATGATCTGGGATACACCATGTTACACCGCGCCATCGAAATGGCCGAGTCCCTTGGGGTCATCAACGGCCCGGACCTCGACCTGGACAAGCTGCAAATGTCCGAGGAGATGCGATCGTCGATCCAACGAACCGCCTGGGGGTTATTCCAGGTCGACACGTAGGTCTCCACCTCCACTGTTCTGCGCCCTGTTGGCTACTGACCGCATAGTGTCGTACATACCAACTTTCGAAAACCGAGCAAAATCCACCGCGTGTGCGTCAAGCGCATCGACCGCGACGAAAGCCAGCCCAGCGAGCAATGGGTTCCGTATCCAACAGGCAGAGCGCCTCGACCGTCCTTCCTGAGCCAGTACTTTGACGAAGCGTGCCGACTGTCCTTTATCGCGAGGGACATCTCCCACCATCTCTATCAGGAACCCCGCCCCGACACCACCCAGCACGAGCGAAAGAAAGAGTTTTACAACAAACTCCAAGAATGGGAAGCCCAGCTGCCGGACTTTTTCGACCCAGCCGGCAAACCCCCGGCCCATATCCTCTTACTAAGGTTGTCCCCCATTCTCTTCAACCTTGGCGCAGGCACTGACAAGTATGACGACAGGATGCGCTACCACGCCATCATGATCAGCCTCTCGCGCGACGGCTTCGGCGTCCACACCTTCTTCTCCGAGGAAGAAGGCAAATCGCAGACCACCGTCCCTCCCTCCAGCCAACTCCCCGCACACCTCCGCGACAAAGCAACCGAGCAGAGTCTCGCGTCCGCACGCGCCATCGCCTCCCTAGTCCGCGTCCACCGCGAAGAATACGGCATCGGGCGCACACACCCGTTCACCACGTACGCGATCATGGTGGCGCTGTTCACGATGCTCGACCATGCATCATTCGATATCCTCGACAGTGACTTCCTCGCCCTGACGAGTGCATTCTCAGTCATCGCCTGCCGGTCTCAGGTAGGTCGGAATCTATTCCATATCTTCCGGCAGTCGGTACGGGCGCAGGACCAGGAGGCGCGCGTGCAGGAGTCGGATCAGGTCCCTGAAGAGATTAAAGAGCTGTTTGGGCGGTATCCGCGCTCGTTGAAGCCGGATAAATGGGATTATTATGAGGATGGGCTGGATAAGTTGGGGGGGGCGAGGGGAGGGATGTGGCGGCGGCGGATGGCATGAGGATGAAGAATTATGCGGCGTCGGGGTGAGGGATATGTTGAGGAAGTATGAGAGTTTGAGTCTGGGGCAGGATTCGCAGGATAGAAGGTAGTGCCTCGTTGCATGTCTCTGTATGTATCTATATCATGAATACACGGTCGTCTTATTCAATTGAATACTACACATACATGGTCACCCCTTTCTGGCAATGCACTTATACACTGAGCTAAAGTGTCCAGACCAGCTCTACTGTAAGTAGAATTTGTGAAACTGAGAAATTTAGATAGTGGCAGTGGTCAAGTAGTCTTGCATACCCTCACCGCAAGCACACCAGTATACTGAAAGACATGCTCCCGCAGTTAATAATGATACACAAAATCCAACGCCTTATCCCCCGTCCTAACACGTCTCGTATCCTCCTTCTCGCCCGCCTCAATCTCTACTTTCAGGTGATTCTCCCGTCTCAAATAAACCGCATGCCCCAGCACCACCCCTGCGCAACAACCAGCGCCCCCAACGAGAACGAATTCCCCAGCACATACGGCGACGTCCGGTATATCTGCCCGGAGACAATCCCGGCCAGATTGCCAATCGTCTGCTGGAGCCCAATCTCCAGCGCGCGGCGGTAATGCGGCGCCACGTTCACATTCAACCAGGCGATGTTCAGCCCGACCCCGGTGTACGTCGCTATCCCAATAAGATACGTCGCGAAGTACTTGACCGCGTTATTCGACACCGCCAGCAGGAGAATATACCCCACCATCCCAAAGACGTTCGTGACCAGCAGGAACATCGCAAAGCGGCTATACCGATCCGCCGCCCACGCCACACTCACAAACACAATCGCCGCCCAGAAGTACACCGGCACGGTCAGGATATTGCTCATCAGCGAATCATACCCGATCCCCTTGAGGATGGTGGGCAGGAACGTGCTGAACCCATACAGCAGAATATCCTGGCAGAACTGCGTGATGGCGCTGAATGCGAGTTTCGGGTCGGAAATGGCGATCCGCATCTCGGCCCAGCTGAACTCGTCGCTGCCCATGTAGGCGGCTCGCTGGGCGTTGCGCACCCGCATCATGTGTTTCTCGTCGGGCGTGAGAAAGTAGGCGTTTGACGGGTCGTTGGGGAGGCCGAACCAGATGAGGAATGCGCAGATGAGGCTGAAGAGGCCTTCGATTATGTAGACCCATCTTTATTGCATTGCATTGCATTAGCATCATCTCAGGTGAAGTGAAGAAAGGGAGGGAGGTACCTCCAACCAGCCTTCCCCCCAATCCCATCCATATGCAACAGGCCATAAGCAAGTAACCCGCCAAACGCGCCGGAAATAGCGGCGCAGCTCATCAGATACGAGACGCGCTTCGCCTGCTCCTCGCGGCGGTAGACCATCGTCAGGTACAGATTCAGGCAGGGGAAGAGGCCTGCCTCGCAGGCGCCGAGGATAAGGCGTGTAGCGTACAGCGCGGGGACATTCGTCACGAACCCGGTGAAGACGGTCGTGATGGACCAGACTATACACAGTCCCGTGAGGATGTTGCGCGGGGTGAGCTTCTTCATGAGCACGGCCCAGGGGGCTTCGAGGAGCACGTAGGTCACGTAGAAGATGGAGACGGCGGTGGAGAATTGGCTGGGCGAGGCGCCGACGGCTTCGGGCATGCCTGCTACTTTGACATTTCCTATTTCATGTCAGTAGTCATTAGACACAAGGATGGGTGGTTGGCAAATACCGATGTTGGTTCGGTCAAGGAAGCAGGAGAGGTAGGTTAGCATGATGATGGGGACAAAGGCGAGGTCGAGTTTGAGGAGGAGTTTGCGCTCCTTTTTTGGGTCGAGGACGACATTTTGCAAGTCAATGTCGATGCCCTGGGCGATGTCTTCTTGGGCATCTTTCGATGGTTCCTGGAGGGAGGGTTTGTGGTCTGGTTCGGTCATTTCGTCTTGACTTGGACAAACTAGAATATCTGGATGCACTGCTCTTATAACGAGCCCATTTAAAGTAGAAAATCGGTAAATTGATAGTTAGCAATTACCCCGGAGTCAGATAGCCCACGGCAATGATTATCTTCCGTAATGAAAACTGCCATGCCAATCATTTTCCTGGGCCGATCACTCCCCTCATCGGGCCGATGGAATCAAGCTATTGGGGTGATAACGGTGGAGCAGCGTGGGGATGGAGACATTTTAGTCGGTGGCTGTTGGAGAATTGGGGTCAAAGCAACATTAATGGCGGCAATTCTATCCGGTGGATCGGCATGAGTAGTATCAACCATGAACAGATAGGATGTTGAATACCGACTTGCCAGAAGCCTATCTCGGAGCCCACATGCCGATATCTGGGGTACCTGTATCCAGCGATTGAATGGCCACCACACGATAGATAGACGCAGTGCATATGATAAGGTAGTGATATCTGGGGTGCATCCACCGTCTCTACGTACATCCACTTCTACATCTTAACCACCTTATCAACTAAGCAAAATGGGCAGCATCACCACCGGCAAAAGCAATAGCAATAGCAACAGCAACAGCAACAGCAGCAATGGCAGCTACACCACCCGCCTCCTCGCCCGCCAAAACCTCATAACCGACACCTCCGGCCTCTCCCCCGGCTCCCTGCAAGCCAACCTCCTGATCCTCCCCTCGCGCTACGCCCCAGACTTCCACGCCCTCTGCCTCCGCAACCCCGTCCCCTGCCCTCTCCTCGGCATCATCCCCCGGGGCAATCCTCACACCGTCTCCCCGGCCGCCTGCATCACCAACCCGGACTTCGACCTCCGCACCGACTTCCCGCAGTACCGCATCTACCAGTCCGGCCGCCAGATAGCCAGCACAAAAGACCTGAAGGACGTATACACACCCGACCACGTGGGCTTCCTGCTAGGCTGCTCGTTCAGTTTCGAGGATGCGCTGTGCGAGGCTGGCTTGACGCCTAGACACCAGATGACCGGCCGCATGGTGGCCATGTATCGGACTACAGTCCCGCTTATGCCTGCGGGCGTGTTCAGCGAGACGTGCATGGTTGTTTCGATGAGGCCGTATAAGAGCGCTGATGTGGAGAGGGTGAGGGAGGTGACGAGGCCGTATGGGGCGACGCATGGCGAGCCGGTTGCGTGGGGCTGGGACGGGGCGGAGAGGTTGGGGATTAAGGATATTAAGACACCTGATTGGGGTGAGGCGCAGGTGTTTGAGGAGGGCGAGGTGCCTGTTTTTTGGGTATGTTTCACTCCATCTGTGGCTGGATTAGGGTGAGCTAACGATGTAGGCGTGTGGGGTGACGCCGCAGTTGGCGGTTGAGATGGCGGGCGAGAAGATCGAGGGACTGGTGTTTGCGCATGAGCCGGGGAATATGCTCGTTACGGATTGGACGTCGGGGGATCTGAAGGCGTTGTGGGAGAAGGCTGGGATTGCTTTGCCTGTGTAACTGATACACCCGTACATCCACCGTCAAATGGTGGCGCATCAGTTGTAGATCCTCCAACGCCAGTCTCATATGATGTGATGGCAGTGGCTCAAAACAAATCTCGCATGACACTGGACAGATCCCCTCCATAGTCATACATATACCCATTGGCCATCCTTCCACTGCCATCGTCAAAGACTTGCGTCACTCCCATAATCTGATTCTCCAGCGTCCCCACGGCCTCAAACCACTCCATCAGCTCCTGCGTCATCTGCGCCCCGTCCTGCGGTGTCTGGCCCTGGTTGCTGGCCGGCGCCATATCCACTGTCCGATTAGCAGCCAAAACACGCTGGTCAGAAGCCGACTGCCGGAGCCCAACCTGCGGCCCGAGCTTGCGCAGGCTCTTGATCGATTTCCACAGTCGTCGGGAAATGTACGACTGCGTGGAGAACCCCTTGACCAGCTCCAGGGCCATGTAGAACTCCTCCTTGCACCGGCTGCTGAACTGGCTCGGGGCCTGAACCACAGCCAGAAACAAAACGGCCAGAGCGGACACTAGAAACCAATTAAACGCAACCTGCTGCAGCTGGTAAATGTCCGACGTCTCGTTCAGCCGCGTGATGAAGCGGATCGTGTCCTTGGCCAGGTCAACCGCCGTCTCGCAATCGGCCGGATACCGCACGATATGGCCCGCTGAATGCAGGACGGGCCGGTGGATGAGCATGCGCAGCTGGTTGGCTCGCAGGTACAGCAGCGAGCGCAGCCGGCGGATGCTGCGCGGTTCCTTGTCTGGGCTGTCATCGCCCAGACGCAACGACGCCGGGATGGCGGCCGCCCATTGCAATACCTGCCAGTCCAGGTAGTTCATCTCGTCCTTTTTGAGCTCGCCGGTGTTGTTGAAGGCGGAGATAAACTTCCACACCTTGGCCGCGATGCGACTGTACCGGATCATCACGCGCAGGTACGGCGTCTTTTCCTCGGGCTCGGGCAGCCACGGGTCAATGTCGCTGTCCTCAAGAGAAAAGGGCATCCCTGTGCCGAAGCTCCAGCGCATGTCCAGTGTGTAGATGGACCAGAACAGCCGCAGGACTCGATCGCGGCCGGCCGCTACCACCGTCGGATGACTGAGCGTCTCGCACCGGTGGAGGCCTTTTTCCAGACACATGCGCTCGACGAGGCCGATCGTGCGCCATGCCAGCGCCTCTTCGTCCATTTGAAAGTAGAAAATCGCCTAATCTTTTAGCATCTTCGCGTCATGTGGCAGAAAGAAAACTCACCACCAAAGTCAAAAAGATAATCCGGTCGATATCCGGCGGGCCCCAGACACAATCGTCCGCTACATCACGCACACTCTCAAACAGGCGCATGGCCAGCTCGCTGCGCCCGCTTGCCTCCGCCGTCAGCGCACACGCAAATACCAACCGCAAGATATGCACGTCGTAATCCCCAGACCGGAGGAGGAGTCGTGGAGACAGCCCATAGAGACTCTCCACCTGCCGCAGTAGCTCCTCTAGCTCCAGCACGGGGTACATAATCCCCATTTCCTCCCCGTAAACCCGACATAGCCTGATTGCCTCGGCCTTGCTGATCGTCCAGAGGGAGTCGTCATTTAGCATCCCCAGCGGGGTGTCATCCCGAGTAGGAGGCGTGGCATCTCGTTCCTCGCCTTCCTCGCCGGCTTCATCCCCGTCGCCATCGACAATTCCCCGACGCTGCAAACTACTCTTAGCTAAACCAAAACTAAACGCCGAAGTCGTCGGACCCTGAAAGGTCAACTCCCTCGCTGACGAAGGCCGACGGAACACTCGCCCCTGGTCCTGCGGTGAGTTGCCAGCTCGCGAGAGCGCATAGACCGCAGCCGAGAGCGCCGAGATCTGCTCCTGCATGGCGGACATTTGCTCAATGAGACGAGACATATTCCTTCTTTGTTAATGTGCATTTCTCATATAGAATGAATCAATGGACATACTGCTGGTCACTCTGGTCGGGTCGCGTCCTCCCCGCGTAGACGCAGTCGATCTGCTGCCGGCCGCAGCGTTGGCAGGGTGATTGGCCGTTACATTTGATCTTGCGGCGTTTGCATTCGTTGCTGATGCGGTTAGTTGTTATTGTTATCTAGACTTGTAGGTTGGTGGTAGTGGTACGAAGCTCACCATGCTTTGGTGATGTATTTCCGCCGTCGTTTCCGGGGACGGGAGTCCTCGTCCCGGGCGTTTGGCCATGTATTCGGGACTGGAGCGGTTTCAGGGTCGTCCATCGTCTTGAACAGGATGAGTAGGATAGGATGAAGGGATTCAAGTGTAACTGTCTAGGAATGAATGCAGATGGGAAACGCGGGGATTCCGTCCGCAGTGCGGAATTAGTGCCTTGGGGTTGGTGCCTGCGTGCCTGCGTGCCTGCGTGCCTGATGGTACTATCGAAACGGCGCTTTTGGTCAATATTGAGTTGAGATGGATTACTAGTTTCTACTGTTGAATATAGGATTTCATGACGGTCAAATAATAGCTTACATGCTAGATGGACTACATAAATCTCGCTTTTACGCAACAACGTACTTCCAAGTATATATCTACTACAACTCCTTGGTCCGCTCATCACTCTCGGCAATCCATTGTTGCAGCTTGGAGGCATCGCGGGGCTTGAATCCCACCTTGAACGGCTTGGGCTCCGTGGTCAACGCGGTGGGAATGACATTGCACTCGATCGCATCCAGGATCGGCCGGTCAGCAGGATCGCGCGCCGGATGCATCGTAAAGGCCGTGATCAGGCGGATGTAGGCCGTGTACAGCTCCCGGTTGGCCAGATGGGAGCCGGCGCACATGCGTGATCCAGCGCCGTAGCCGTAGTGAGGGGTGCCGGAGCCTTCGCTGACGTCGAGATACCGCTCAGGAATGAACCTGTCGGGCATCTTGAAGTGGTCTTCGTCGTAGTCGGCAGCATATGCGTTCTATCCCGTCAGTTATTTTGGCTGAATATGGGCGGTGACTATACTTACCATAAAAAAGGTCGTTCCCGCAGAAATGGTGGCGCCGTTGTAGACAATGTCCTTGGTGCTCTCGCGGGGCAGGCAGATGGGGATGACGGTCCAATATCTCAGGGTTTCCTTGACGAGTGCCGTGACGTAGGGCACTTTCTCCTCGACTAGGCACTTTTCCCACGCGTCTCCGTCGGGGTATACCTTCATGATCTCCTCGTAGGCCTTTTGCTGGATGCGCTGCCCGTCCTCGGAGGCCAGGTAGGCGATGCCCATGATCAGATTGCCAGGGACGGTATCCAGACCGGCGGAGACCATGGTCAAGCAGATGGATTTCACCTCGGCTGCAGGTCCAGTAAAGTTAGTAAGGCAAACAACGAAATGTTGAAGCTACGTACCCTCGTTCAGCTTGGCTTCTGGATCCTTGAGAATGTTCCCGGTAATGCATGGCTTGTCGGTGCCCTTGGCGATGCGTTCCTTGAGCATATCCAGCAAGAACGTCAGGTACTTGTCGCGCCGCACCCGGAATTCCTCGGCCTCGCGATTCGTCTTGGGCAAGATGCGCAGCAGCGGGATATAGTCCTGCCAGTTGTTGCTGGTGCTGCGAAAGTTGGAGACTCCGCGCTCGACATCGACGATCTCACGCAGCAGAGCATCGTCGACGTTGCCTTCGATGCGGAACCCATAGTTGAGAGTGAGACTGGTGTTGAGCGCATACCGCTGAAAGTAGGCTGTCGGATTGATGTCCTCGGCGCCGTTGCGGCAGTCCTTGAGCAGCTCCTTGATACTGGCCGTCGCTTCGAGGTCGACGATTGGCATGTACGACTGCACGGCGGGGCGATTCAGCGCAGTGGCCGCAGCCTTTCGGCGTCGCTTGCAGGACTCATCCCAGGGCGAGGTGCCAATCGTAAAACCCTGGGAGCTGGACACGACGCTGTGGAAGGTATGGAAGGTTGGCCGCGAGATGAGAGCGGATTGGTCTTTGATCCACAGCTGTTTCACCGATTCGAAGCTGTTGGCAAATACGATGCGCTAGAATCAGTCAGTAGAGACCATACACGACAAAAGGTGAATAGACTGACCTTGTTCCCCATGCGCACTTGGAACACAGGACCGTACTTTTTGGCCCATTTGGCGGCGACGGTGGCATGTCGGTCACCGAGCTGTAGCAGATTGCCAAACACAGGCACTCCGGGAATCTCAGGAAGGCCCTTGATTTTGGGGATATCCGTGCGATTCAAGTAGCGGATGAGAAAGTACACCGCCGCGAGGACGGCAATGACAATGGTCTGGGCCATGATAAGGTTCGTTATAGCGATGATATAGGTTATAAGTGGCGATATAAGCAGCGGGTGCGACCGTCTTTATAGGTAGAGCCTTCGAGGTCACCCCCTCATTCCCTCCGCAGTGGTTCAGATATCATCCCTGTGGTGTGCCTATTCCGTGTATGTTATTGTCATACCCCCAGCAGGGATCCGCAGAGTTGTCCAGTCGCTGTAGTCCATCTGCATCTCCATTCAATTAGAGATGATGGGATTGGTCAATCGTGAACAACCGAGGACGCGACAAGACTGCGGGATTTCGGAATGTCTTCCGCTCGGTTGCATGCGGATATCCTTACTACCAGTTACCAGTTACCAGTTACCAGTTACCAGTTACCAGTTATATAACTTATTGTAGTAGCATCTTCAGTATATAATAACTATATTTTAGATTCCGCTTAAGTTGTTATCTTGCTCTTTTAATGATCTATTATGCCTTCCAGTCTCAACTTGTTACTTATGCCTGAGAGCCTAAGGCTACTATTCCCAATACTGTATTTAGCCTACAAGGCGGATCTTCTGGAGATATAACTAGATACAGGACAACACATTGATGCAATAGAGCAAAACCCTTCTGGAGAGAGCAAGACAGGCACGGCGTTATCCTGAGGCCAACCAAGAAGACCCTAAGCTACGAGAGCTACAGAAACGATAAGGTCAACCACTTCTCCTCTCCACTGCGGAGGATGAATTATGGCTGCGGTTAAACAATAGCTAGAACCGTGTAGCATACAATATGAGCCCATTGGTTTGACTTGAGGCCGGATACGTTGGTCCTGAATTAATGGCTAGGAAGCAATATCATACATCAACAAATTCACAATACAGAGAGATCACTCAGAAGAAGAAGAAGAAGAAGAAAAAGTCATCTTCATCCACCCCAGGGGTTTCGTCCTATTCTATTCTGCGCTCAAGCCTCGACGTCCTCCAGGTATTCCCCTATACTTATTGATGTCTGCAGTGAATACTACAATTAGGGGTGTTCACGTTCGTCGTAGGGAATCCCCAGTGGTGTGGAAAGTGCAATATATGTCTCGCATGTTGGTCACTTGGTCACTTGGTGTAGTTATTCCACTTGCCATAGCATAGACGAAAGACGAACAGGCCAAGACACTCACCGCTGTACAGCTCTGTCTAGCAGTTTCATTTGACAGACTAGATATACTACGTACATTCTGCTACTTGACCTCAGGATCCATTGACTGTCCAATGGAATGCAGTTCGTAATAAACACTAGTATCATAAGGTATTCATGCTCAAACGCCTCGCTAACAAAACATGACAGAAAGAAACAGTCGTAAACCAATTATTGATACCTCCTCGTCTTCTTCCCCCCAGGCACCCAATGATGGAAATATACCTGTCCAGAAGATGCAGACGCAGAAGGACACCCAGATACAGACACAGACGTAGACATCGCCGCCCCCAGCCCAGCCCTTGCTCTCCCCCACCGCCGCTTATACGCCCTTCGCAGGAAGCTATCATCCAGATGCACCTGTCGTGTACCAAGGGTATATGCCACAGGCTGAGCGCCATGCTCACTCGGTCTCTGTCTCTGTCTTATTGAGAGTATACCCTCCGACACCGGTACCGGTAGCGACACTGCGCACATTACTCAGCTCATTCATCTTTGTAGATAGAGTGATAGGAGAGGATAGGATAGGATAGGGTAGTAGGTACCTCGATAACCCCCCGTAGATGCGGATACACCTTATCCTCATACACACGTCCACTGCATGTGCGTGTATATGCCTGAGAACAAGCAGGAACAGAACGAGCCGACGCAGCAGCCACCAAAAACGGAATGTGAGTCACAGGGATCCGCCTCCTCAGCGCATCCTTCAGAACCGCATACTCGGTCTGCCGTCTAGCGAGTTTGGCCTTCTCGATGTCGGTTTGGATTGATATCGTCTCAGGATTTGCGGTGGCCATGGTGTGTTCTTTTCCTTTCGTTTGAACTTTAGGTAATTGGGTTGCATTCCATTGCTTGGGGGTTAGCCATTTACATTTATATACTCGTCCGTACTGTACTACTGCGCGGCACACGACTTCTTGCTTGCGTTGAGGATCCACGAGCCGCGTCATGCATAAATAGATTAACGTTACAGTGGGATTGGAGACTGGGGTAGACGGCATAGGCTAGGATCTACCTCCAAGATGGACTGTGGCGATGGGCGTTTCAGGTTGTTTCAGTTAGAGTTGTTTATCTGCCGGACAATGCACGCCATGCGTGTCATATCTGCAAATCATGCATGCTTGTCACTTGTAGCTCGTCAGATTAAGTATTCTTTGCGTCCCCATGATCGACGGGCTCAGAGTTAAACATAAACTTATTCATGCATTGATCATCTACTATACAAATCATAGGGCACACTGCTCCAACGAGTGACCCCGAACCCAAGTGCAGAAGAATTTTACAATCCTACAATACATAGCCGATCGGCTGACATATATGCAAAGAAGACTAGCGTGGCCCATGCTGTGGTGGCATTCCACTTGACCCTTGACTGTACCCCCGTTGATGTCCCGGATTATGGCCAGACGAAAGAGGCTCACCAAGACCTCCAGGACCAGACGGCCGCGCCTGGAGAGGATGCATACCCGACGATGGGCCGCTAGGACCGTAGCCGGCCGGGTTCGGCTGTAGAATCGCCGGCGGGGTATACGACCGGCCCATGGTTGCCGACTGAGACGGCGGTCCTGGCAGCCCCGTCGTACGGGAAGCCTGTCCTTGCGGTTGCGGTGTATTGTGGCCATAGCCAGCACTCAATCCCAGCGGACCGCGATGTGACTGCTGATGATGGGCTCCGTTTACCATGGTCTGCACATGCTGCTGATAGGTCTGGTGAGCCGACATATGACTCGGTGGGGCTGGGGCAGACACGGTTGGCGCGGGCGGCCGAGACCCAAGCCCAAGCAGACTTGCTTGCGATTGAACGGGCGTCGGCGGCCCCTGTCGTGAGCCATACGCGATGGAGTTGTGGCGTGACGTGGGAGATCCAACTGCGGGCCGATAGATCTGATTCTGTGAGCCCAGATCGCGCGTGCCACTAGGCGCTGGCTGCGCGTGTGAGGATGGCGACTGTGCGTACACCGATCCTGGATACGAGGGACGCTGTGTCGGAGCCGGGGACGGCGTAGGGGCCGGAGATGGAGCGGTAAGGTTGGGAAGAGAGGAGGCGGGATGGGATTGCCCGGAAGTATATGGAGAGTACGACGGCTGCGCTGCCAACGTTGTGGCCGGTCGATTCGGGTGCGGGGGCTGAGGCGGCGCAGGTTGCTGTTGCTGTTGCTGTTGCTGCTGCTGTTGGCCTCTCGGGTCGAACCGAGCCATCCAGTCGTTGTTCGCCGGCGGGCCGGGGGATCCTCCAGGCATCGTAGAGTAGGCCTGATACTCTGAATAAGCACGCGACGGCGGCAGGAAGTGACTGTGCGGGGCGTAAAGAGGCTTTTGAGCGCCAGCGGATGCCATGAATGTCTCGTCCTGACGCGACGGCGCCTGTTGAGGCAGTGTGTGAGCCCCAGAGTAGATGGGGCGAGACGGCGACGCTGGCTTGCCGGGTGCGTTGGACGAGGCTTGGTCGCTGGCAAACCGCTTCCGAGGTTGTGGCTCCTCCGGCTCATCATTCAGAATGCTCATAATGTTGGAGCGCTTGGCAGGGACCTGCCGGGGTGCCTCTGCGGGCTCCAGTGGAGTCGAACTGGGCCGTGGCGGCTCCTTGGGTGGGGACAGAATCGGCGGCTGCGACAGCCCAGCATGCTGGCCGGGCAGCGGGTAAAATGGCCGTTGGCTGGTGGAGTCGCGTCGAATGGGCGATACCTCCGCCTCCTGCCGCTGCAAATGCTGTGCAGGCGAACCGGGCGGTTTCGTAAGGCTGCTTTGGCGGGAGTGAGTGGGCGCTGGCATGAACGCATGCTGTTGCTGTTGCTGTTGCTGTTGCTGTTGCTGTTGCTGTTGCTGTTGCTGTTGCTGTTGCTGCATGTACGCCTGCTGTGACGGAGGAATCGAGCCATGAGCCGCAAGTAACGGCGACCCGTGCATATCCATGGTTGGGGTCCTGAAACTTTGTGCGTGGAGTGGCTCCATCCTGGCCATTTCCGATACCGGTACAGGAGTCTGGCGTGCAGAGAGCGGTGGTTCCTGAGGTCGGACATTTGCGTGTGCCACCAGGGCCGGAGCCTGCCTGTCCTCGGTGAAGTAGCCCAGGCGTGGCCCCTGCAGACGCGGCGGTAGGCCCACCTGTGATCGGATAGCCCGAGATTGATCTTCGCCAAGCATCGGCACTGTCGACATCGGTACGTTGCTGGCTTGTGCCAGCGGCGGATACCTGGAGACAGTACGCTCCTTCTCTGGAGCAGGTCGGGCATGCAAAGGTGCAAGTTGAGACGCTGTGGCTGTATGCTTGGTCTTCGCCGTACGCGCCTCGTCCGACTCTGCCACCGTGTCAGTATGGGGTGCCAGTGGTCGAGGCATGATCGACGACGGCGTCGCTTCATAACGTCGCTTCGAAGCAAAGTTAGGCACGGGCAATGGACCAGTCGGTTGACCACGAGCCTTTTTAGCCTCTGCATCGGCAACGATGTCTTCGAAATCTTTCTGCCCCGAGTCTATGCGCCTCTGGAAGTAATTTTTGACCTAAAAAGAGTTAGTAACTTGACTATCGATAGGCAGAGGAAAAGTAAAGTAATGGAAGATGGCTTACCATAACAGTAGTCTTCGTCTTCATAAAGTTCGAAATGCCCTCAAAGTCTCTGCCAAAGTGGGCCAGCAGCTGTGGAAAGTCACGCTGCTCGGGAACAGACCAGTAGCTAGTAGGTTGCAGTGATCCGTAGCCACCCTCGACAGGCCTGGCAGATCCCAAACTCTCTTGTTCCGCCGATTCGAAGACGTACATGCCTTCCCTCTGGCGACCTCTTCCGGCCTTCGCTCGCGGAGGTGCCTCAGGGATTTCTCTCTCCGTCGTTTCCTTGATCCGTACAGGTGCTTCAGTCATGACAGCCATGAATGTCTCGGCTGGCTCTGTTTTAGGCGCGGGAACAACAGGAGCGGTAACTGCTGGGACTGGCAGGGTCTGCATAGGTTGTTCTGGGGGCCCTGGTTGCGGTACCTTCGACACCTCGGTCGGAGGCTGGGGTAAGGGCAGGGTCTGCTGTTGTTGCTGCTGCTGCTGTTGTTGTTGCTGCTGCTGCTGCTGAGCAGCTTTGCCTCGTCGATTGCCACGGGTACCTGTGCCAGTGCGACCACCTCGTCTGCTGGGTTTCTCTCCCGGCTCACCATCCTTGCCAGCACCGCGGCGACCATTGGTATCGGTATCAGCAGCGGAGGAGTCCCCAAAAGTAGGCGCAGCGGCACGGCGCGGACGGCCAGTGTCTGTGACAGGGGCGGGCTCTTCTTCGCCATCGTAATCGGGTTTGACCACACCGAGATCCTTCATGAGAGCGTTCGACTTTGGCCGAGCGGATCTTCGAGCACGACCGCGACGACTCCATCTCTTGTTCAACTTCGCCTTGTACTTGATTTCTTCCTTTGTGAGGTAATAATGAATGATACACTGCTGGAAGTCCCGTCCGGGCAGCGACTCGGCGATCTTGCCCCACTTCTTTGGGTAAGCCATGAAGGCATCAGTGAATATCTCGTGTTCCTCGGGGGTGAAGTCGTTGGGAGGAGGAAGGAAGCCAAAGACATCCATGGCGTTCGTAGGGTCCACAGAATTGTTGGTATCCTTGTAGATCTGCGCCTTTGCCTCCCTTGGCTCGAGCATGTCTGGGATGACGGCTTCCCGGGCGAGGTCTGGCTGCGCCGTAGCCTTGTTTCCCCGACGGCGTTCCAGTTCTTCCTGCGCAGATATTTCGGACGCACGGAGCGCGTTCTGAAAGTCAAGCTCGCTGTTACCTTTGTATCGTCTTCCCTCGGCGGCCGGAGGTGTTGGTGCAGCAGGAGGAGCTGGAGGTGTTCCAGCCCCTGGAGTGGCGGAAGCTCTGGCCTTTGCGCGATCCAGTTCCCACACTTGCAGCCTCCAAGGCTTGTAGTACGACAAGTACTCCTCGCGGAGCTCCGTGTTCTTCCGCGCAATCTCCTTCCTCCGTTTAATCAATTCTTGACTGAACACATCCTTCATACGAGCGTGTATCGCCGCATTTTCCTGGTAAACGTCAAGGTCCGATATCGGTGTAGGCGGACCGGACTGCAAGAATGGCAAGTCTTTGACGGAAATGCTATCCACTGGCGGAACTAGATCTAAAGCGAGCTTTGGAGACGTCTCGGGAGTTTCTAACTCAGCGTCTTGCTTGACCGCGACAGGTGCAGGTTCCTCTGCCTCATCTGCCGCCTTGGGAACTTCGACCGCGGGAACAGGGGGGAGAGCAGCTTCGCCTACAGGCTGCTCATTGGCAAGAACTCCTAGAAGCTGGATCTGCATTAAGAGGGAAACGATATGCGGATCTTCAAGGGGTGGAGGGGGCATTTCCGCGCGGAGCGCTTTCATGTCCTTTTCGAAGATTTGTTTCCGTTCCTCAATGTACTCTTGCGTGAATACATCGTTCTCGTCCTCATCTTCATCGCTTGATCGGCCAAAGTCTGGTATCAACGTGTCTTCCTGCATGGCGGGTTTGTCTTCCGGGGCAACCTTCTTCTCGGGTTCGACAACTGCTTCTGGCGCTCGTGGAGGAGTGACGTGACGAACTGTGTCAGACTTGAAAGGTTCAGGGGACATACGCGCGTCGCCTTCGATCTCCTTGTCAGGCAAAATCTCACCCGCCTCCAGTTCGTTGCCATGGTCATCGGCTGGAACTGGTGGTTCTCGTCTGGGCTCCTCGCTGATGGACAGACTTCGCTCTTTCCCATCGATGGAATCCCGTTTCGGTAGTGGTACGGCGCCAGCTCCGGCTGGGTGACGATTATAACCAGGCCGAGCCCACTGCGCTTTACCCTT